CAACCGCAAAAAACCTTCCGTCCCCACGCAATATACACCGGATTGTGTCAAGCTCCACGAGACGGCTCCGTTTACATCCAAACGCTGGAAAAGCTGCAGTACATATGCCGAACCTGTACGTGGCGCTGTAACTTCCTCCACAAAAGCAGCAACTTCCTCCACAAAAGCAGCGAAGAAGAATGGTTGTCATGGCTGCACTTCTGTTTATTCTCCGTGGTGGGGGCCGAGGGATCCGGGCAGAGTTTTTCGCCGGTCAGCGTGTGTTAAAGTTTAAATCTTCCGGACAAAATTATAAAAGTGCCGGTCAAAGGTCTTCTTTGTTATTTATTGAGCTTTAAAACAAATGAATAACGACGATATAATGATATATGAAAATAAAATACACGGAGCCTGTCTCTCTTTCCTCTCTTCTGACAGCGTCAGTGTCTGTCTCATGCAGCAGCTGATCCAGTAATGATGACCCGACAGTAAAAATGAACATATTTATAACTAGTTTAGGTAGTTTGAGAGGTAATTAAAATAGCTATTGTTGTTGTTAACGAAACACATCAGCAATGATGCGGGGTACGTGGAGAGGTGGGAAGAGGCGGGGCTATGAAACGAATGACCGTATAGGCGACCCCACGGCCCCGTTGGACCCCCCAGAGCGCTCCGTTCCCAGATCTATCCACCTTTGGACCCGTTGTCGTTTGCGGGGTCTGTTTCTACGTTTCCCTTACGGCGTCGTCGAGCTTAGAGGGCTATACGCATGAGAAATATGCGGATTCAACCCGTTTTCGTTCCCGTGGAGCCGGGGCCTAAATTACCCTTCTTCGATAAAGCCACGCTCGCATTGCAGATGAGACAGATGGACTTTGAATTGGAATAGATACAAAAATAATCATCCTCCCACTCAGAGTGAAAATTATATATTTTGGGCTCTTTTGCTTCTGTCATAATTGTGGTCTTGTGTGTGCGGACTGCACAGCAAACTAGTGCCCACTGTCTACCAGCCACGCCCCGATAAATCACAAAGCTTTGATGCATTCAAGTGCATTATTCTGGCACAGGAAGATTATGTTATAGGACATTAACGATAAAACAGAATATTGTTGTTCTATTTTTAGACACATCTCGCGATCAACTGAAACACAGAGGACTGTTTGTATGATGGGATCACAGACACGCTGCAAACGGTGTCCGCCAAGAATCGAGTCCAGTGTCTATGTAGTGTCATTTTTATTTGTTATAGTTTGGGAAGATTGAAAATCGGTAGGGAGAGTCAGCTAAGTCGGTAGGCGGTAGAAACATGTCAAAAGCAGTAGACTACCGCTCAAATCGGTAGGGTTGGCAGGTATGACACCCTACCCCTACACACTACCCCTCCGTTTGCGCGTTCGCGCGGAGGGTCCGCCACATTAAGGCGTAGGCTCCACGAGGACGAAAACGGGTTGAATCCGCATATTTCTCATGCGTATAGCCCTTTAAGCTCGACGACGCCGTAACAGAAACATAGAAACAGACCCCGCAAACGACAACGGGTCCAAAGGTGGATAGATCTGGGAACGGAGCGCTCTGGGGGGTCCAACGGGGCCGTGGGGTCGCCTATACGGTCACCCGTTTCATAGCCCCGCCTTCCCCCACCTCTGCTGCTCACCCCCGCCTCAAAGTACACTGCACACTGAATTCAGATTATTTATCTTTATCTCGATATGAACATAAACGCGAGTGAAGTCTAATCTGACAGGACGGAGACACGCAGCTCCTCCGGCTGTGAAGCAGCGGGAGCAAAACACACACTTCAAGTCAGATCACCACCCTTAGCTATTTTAATTACCTCTCAAACTAAACTAGTTATAAATATGTTTATTTTTACTGTCGGGTTTACTTACTGGATCAGCTGCTGCATGAGGAAGCATGAAGATTTAAACTTTAACACACATTGACCGGCGAAAAACTCTGCGCGGTTCCCTACGCCCCCACCGCGGAGAATAAACAGAAGTGCAGCCATGACAACCATTCTTCTTCGCTGCTTTTGTGGAGGAAGTTGCTGCTTTTGTGGAGGAAGTTACAGTGCCACGTACAGGTTCGGCATATGTACTGCAGCTTTTCCAGCGGTTGGATGTAAACGGAGCCGTCTCGTGGAGCTTGACACAATCCGGTGTATATTGCGTGTGGGCGGAAGGTTTTTTGCGGTTGCATTTGCGTTACTCCGATGCGTTTTGCCGTATGCGTTCCCTTGGAGCCGGGGCCTAACCAACCTTAGTGCTGTTCCAAACCAACGAGTGTGGAGCGGTGTGGAGGGGGAGTGGGCTATCAAGCCCTCAAACAGCGAGTCTGCATCGGTGCTGACTGGTGACCGGTCTCTACCTGACCGGAGTCACGCTGTGTGTGTCCGTCAGGAAACACGCTGTTTACAAGTAGTTCAAGCAAACATCCACTGATAAACTGCCATGACAACCTCATGATAACCTCATGTGTTTTTAACTTAGGATCGTACCTGTGTTTAGTCTAGAAAAAGGTAAATGTGTGCATTTTATTATAAAGTTGTGTATATTTACAGACTGTTGCAAAAACTAAGAAGCTTATAAACATCAGGTTTAAAACTAAAAGAGCTTTACAAAAAAGTAACACAATGAAAGATGTTTGGAGTTTTATTTGAGTTCTTAATTTACATTTTTTGTCTAAGAGATGCTGATTTGAAACCGTTGTTACATACAGTTACGGCATTTCCTGTTTCTGCCGGAGAGAGGGGAGTTTGTCCCAAAGCTTGCCGCTGTGTTTACTCCCTCCATCTGACAGGAGGGAGCCTCGTTGAGCTGCGAGTGTGGCTACAGACGGAGTTCACTCCGCCACGGAGGGGTAGAGTCGAGGGAGTGGTTTGGGATTGGGCCTACATTGAAAAATACTCTGAGCATGCGCAGTGTAGTTTTTACAGTCACCGTTCACTTTGACAGTGAGAGGGTGGGGCATGATCAGGTTTTGTCCCACATGGCTCAAAACGGCACTATAGACACTAATTAGAAGAACACAGACTAAAACAGCAATGTACAGACGAATCAGATGATTAACCATGATCTTAAAATATATTTTATATATTGTTTTATTTTTTTTTTTGCATCTCTTTGCATTTTTTGTAATCATGTGTAATACTTTCTGCTGACACTAGATGGGGCTGTGCCCCATCTAGTGTCAGCAGAAAGTGGCCCCTAATGACCAGTCGCCACTGCATATCACATCATAATGTATCATATCAATTGAGCAGGGTTGCGTTCGAATACTCCAAAAAAACAGCTCCTAAATTCTAACCCTATCGTCTATTCCTTGACCTCGGAGTGAAAGGTCACGGGGTTAAGGGATAGTGGATAGGAGAATTCAAAAGGATTTAGGAGAAGAGACTGCGGCACTTTAGAGAATCCGACTGCACTTTCACTATCCGACGTGTTTATGATGCGCCAGCAGAGGTCATAAATGTGCGCCTGCTGCTGTGGGGAAACTATGGAAACTACAGTTTTCTATACAGCGGACTACAACATGGATGTTTAATAAGAACGAGGGACTACTGTAAACTCATCTAGAGACTCTGCACCGTGCTCTGATGCTGTTGTGCTTTATGAACGGGGACAACAGAGAAACATATTCTTCATGACCAAAGTTGGAATTGAAATAAGAAAGGAAAGTGAAACTTATGCTCGTCACCCTCTCCCTCCGGTCCACATTAATACAAATGATCCCAATACGTATGATTGTATGAAAAGATCTTAAAATCAATACAAATGTATTTATTATAAACGTTAGTCCTTAACATCTATCACTGTGTATATCACCATTCAAACATCTTTTAAAAGTTGAACAAACCCCACACAGCTCAGTAAAGACTGTGAAATGTTGACTTTATTTGATCATTTCAGTAAAAACTAACGTTCATATTTCTCTTTTTGATTATAATACGGATGAACGTTCAAAACAAAGCACTTTGGCAACTTACCACATACGTTTTAAAATGCTTAATAAGCACCGTAACTTTCATGATATCATTTCTCGTTCATAATCGGTTGTTTCCGTGAACGGCCGACTGTTGTGTGACGGCAAATGCTGCGGCCGCAAGGCATTGTGGGGCAGCATTTTCTCCTTTCCTTTCGGTTAGGGAGGTCCAGTGGTTCCTAAGCTAAAGGAGGTTATAAAGGAAGATTGAAACCTCCTTTCCTTTTAATTTAGAGAATTGGAACGGCTCTTATCATGGCTGCCACTGAGGGACTTCCGGGTCATTTCACTCCGTTAGGAAGGTTCCTAAGCTAAATGGACTATTCGAATGCAACCCGGGTCTCCCTTGAAAAAGAGATCAATGATCTCAATGGGATACAACCTGGATAAATAAAGGTTTGAAATGAAATGAAAAAATCATATATTTCCTTATCTGAGTCAGCTGAGCCGTATCTGGCCGTGCAACACTCACAGTGTCACATACTGTATGCAGAAGTATTATTTTAAGCAACACATTAAGTTGACGAAACACTCGAGTCAAATGTAATGAAAGTCAGATCGTGTCTTAGACGGGGCAGTGATATCATAAACCTGTTAATGTACGCATTCAAACACTTTTTCTGTTACCAGCTGTATTCACCTTGCAGGTGCAGCTATGTGGCTTTGATCCTGGATAAAGTGTTTAAGTCATGGATGTTTAAAGTTTAACTTCTTCATATTTGACTAATATTAAAGTTCACTTTTCATTCAGGAAGTATGACGCTGCGCTGTCAGTACGCTTGTCCGTGTTTGAGATTGGTCGAATGCTCCAAATACCACCCCTTTCATGTGAACGCGCACCTAACTAGATAGGACACGGCTGGCTTGAGCGATCCACTTGATAACCAGCGTCGTAGTACAGTTTAGCGAGAGCGCGTATGTTTTGGATTGGGCCAACCGGCTAACTCCAACATATCCAGGTTAGGTTGAACCAGCTTCGTAGTACAGGCCTCTGGCCTCCGGTGTGGATGTAAACGATAACAATAAATCAAGACGTGGGTTTTTCTACACTTTAATTGTACACTTTTAGTTTTGAATCCCGTCAGCTGAGACAAAAGGAGGCTGACTGCTCGTCGGCACAAACACCGTGTAGAAACATGTCATCGTTACAACCAGACAGAAACAAGATAAATTAAAATTAACCGCTTTTACTTTAGAGGTGGAGGGCGTGCACTTTATAGGCCAGATATATAATACAGTGGTTATAACGTAATATATATATAAAGTACTGCGCCAGTACTGCTAATCCATGGCAGAAAAAAAACCTAAAAAAATGGACAAATAAAAATCTCATCTGGAATGGAAATGTCAACAGTAGCAAAAAAAACACATTCAAGATTTATTTAACATTTGATGATATTGAACCGAGACAAGAGAGCAATACCAATACTTCAGAGTGTGTGTGTGTGTGTGTGTGTGTGTGAGAGTGTGTGTGTGTGTGTGTGTGTGTGTGAGAGAGTGTAAGTGTGTGTGTGCAGGGGCAATGCTGAAGCAGGTAAATAAGGGAAAAACACAGGTTCCTGCATGTTTCTCTGGGGGTGGATAAGCGGAAGTGTAGGGGTCTCCTGCAGTATTTCGGGGGGTATTTGAGGGCAGTTTTTTGGGGTGTTTTGGGACCCTCTGGATCTAGAAGGTCTTCCTGTGGATGGCCCGCGCTCTGTCTTCTTCATATTCACGCTTTGAAACCCACATCTTCTTAAAGGTGTCCAACGACGCCAGGATGGAGCCTCTGAAGGGTGACAGAGAAAAGCTCATTAGCAGCGGTGGGAAGTAGTGGAGTTACTAAAAGTGTCTCAATTAAAAAAGATGTAATTAAAATGGCACAAAAATAGTGAATGAAACACTGAGTTCTCACCCGATCCATGTGGAGTACAGCCTCTCCTGAGGAGCAGAGATCTGGGGAAACAAACACACACAGCATTTAAACACAGAACAACAACAGTAAACTAGAGAATGCAATTCCTGAAGAACTTGCTAGTGGGAATGCTCTATGCTGAAAAGCTGACGCTGAACTGCTATGCTGAAATGTAATGTGTAAAGCTGGCTACACACCAACCCGATTTTGGGAGTCAGAGGCCGTCAGAGGCAGTCGGGCATTCGCGGCGCCCTACTCAGGTTGGTGTGTCCCGCACCGTCGTCTCTTTACGGCACCTTTTCACACCTCCCGATGCCTCCCGTGGTCGATTCAACATGTTGAATCGGCCGCGGGAGGTCAGAGAAAGTCGGCCCAAGCAATCACTCTGATTGGCTGTTGCCTCTTTTGAATGACGAATTCACACTACCGCTGCCTGCTCGTAAGGACAGTTATTGCCACTCGTCGACTGAAGTATTTGCGGTGTGTTCGTAGGCGGGCGGCGTAGGCGGGCGGCGTAGCCGACGCAGGCGACGAAGCTGACGTAAAAGTCGGGACGCCTTCGGTACGCGTTTTTTGGTCTCAGGTGGGTGTGTAGCGGCCTTAAGAAGAAAGTGAAGAATTTAGATTGAAATGATACATGAACACTGGGGGCTTGAATGTGTGATGAGAGAAGAAAGTAAAAAGGCTTGGAAAAGCAGCAGAATATTTCAACTGCAAACTTTTGAACTAACTTGATGGCGAATGATCTGTCGCCATGGCAACGGTATTTGATCACACCCCATAATACGCTTAAATGTGTTGATGGCTGCATCGTTACCAAACCTGTGAAGTTTTGGGCCGTTTGGAGCATTTTCACTGAAGTTATGAGAAAACTGTGTTTCATGGCGAGCATTGTGTTGCCATGGCAACGGCATTTGAAGAAATTTGAAAACTGTCCCGTAGATGTCTTCACGGCTGGACTGTTAGCACACATGTGAAGTTTGAGGACTTTTTGACCATTTTCATAGGAGTTATAGCAATATCGTGTTTTACGGCGAGGGATGCGTTGCTATGGCAACAGCTTTTGAAGAAAACTTACTAATGGCACATAGACATGTTGAAGGCTGGACCATTAACTGTCATCTGAAGCCTGGTGGTGTTTTGACCCTTTTCATATGAGTTACGACAACATCGTGTTTTGTGGCGAGGGATGCGTTTCCATGGAAACGGCATATGGTGAGATCTCAGATTTGGCGTAGAGCTGTTGAGGCATGGACCGGTGATATACAAGTGAAGATTGGGGGACGATTGGACCGTGTCCATTGGAGTTACAGCGACATCGTGTTTTATGGCGAGGGATGCGTTGCCATAGTAACACCACATTACGTAACATCAGATTTGATGTAGAACTATTCAGGGCCACAGTGTTAACCATCATGTGATGTACTGTGGCGTTCTGAGCATGTCAGTTGGAGTTATGACATCATCAAGTTCCATCACACAGGTGTTTATGTTTGAGCTAACGACGTTATGAAACACCTGTGCTTGAGCCCAGAGATCAAAGGTTTCCATGGTGATGTGCAGTAATCAGTGAGAGGAGAGCCATTGATCTGAATGAGAGATAAACCTCTTACATGTGAACGTGTTGTTGAAGAACCGTAACAGATATCGGTGAAATTTCAAAGCGTGAAGCATGTCAAGGACCTTGAGTATCTGAAGTGTGCTTTTTGTGTACTTTCGGGTCAATAATGTGGCCTTTTTGGCAGATTAACTAAAGGTGTGCGGCTGCTGTGAGGAAATATGAGGCTGAACTTACAATGGGCTTTAATGGAGACATGTTGAAAGTTTTTGTCACTTCATGCCCTCAAGAGGCATTTTGTTTAATTTTTTTTTTTTTTTAAAGCTACGAGATGTTTTCCTACGTTACTCGTGAAACAATGATGTCCCAGGAATGTAGGGTTTGGGAATTATGGCAGGTTTAAAAAAAAATATGAAGGCAAATTTCAAGCTGTCCTCCACTCTAGCGTTAACGAGCAGCTCAATACACACTAATGTTAAAATCTGAAGAAGGCCTCTTTACCAAGGTCTGAACAATGTTTAATATCTCTAAAAGTAAGAATCAGATTTAAAAGTTGTGTTACACGAATAATGTCAGAAAGATGTGTAACATTTTAAAGTTGGAATGAGGTTTCTGAGTGAAAGTATGAAGGAGCAGTTAGCAGTTGAAGTCGCATGAAGATTTTTCAAGTCTGAAGAATTTCTCCATTGACTTCCATGTTAAAAATGTGATGTATTATGGGATGTATCTCTGGAATTATGAAAGTTATGAATGAGAAAAGTAATAGCCATCGACCGAGCTGAACGTTTTCATGTTTGAACGATGTGTTTCTGCGATGTGGAATATGGGAGCAGAAGAGCGGCAAAATAACCCGGCGGAATAAGAATAAAGAATTCGTCCGCAGAAGAACGGGTCACACCATAACGTTTGATAAAAGGAGAATACAGTAGTTTAAAATGAATGAATTAAAAGTGAGGACGAGTTTTACCTTGATCTTCACGTCTTTGGGTGCCAGTTTCTTCACTTCAGTCAGTAGTCGTTCCCCGAAACCTGGAAGTAAACAGATGTTCCAGTGAGTAAATATAATCTGTAACACGAGGGGCGTCAGCGCTATATTATAAATATATGATATATTATAAAACTCAAACATTGTAATGCCTCTTATCCTTTATTGACTCTCTTTGCCGTCTCTCTTAACTCCCATGATGCAACGCTGCTTCTTAAAACACATGTTGTAGTTTCTTTTAGGGCTGTGCAATTAATCGTATTTTAATCGCAATCACGATTTCGGCCTGCCACAATTACGAAAACAACATAATCGAAAAAAACGATCAACATAGCTTTGCTAGGTTGTGACCGTGCAACATATTTGATGTAATTAATTTTGGTCTCATTTATTTGTATTTATCATATTTATATATGTTTAGTAGCTTGTGGAAGTGCGCTCCAAAATATTTGTTGATCTTGTTTATTGGTATTTATTATTTTGATATTATTTATTTAAATGTTTTATTTATTTTTGTATTGGTTTTTCAGTTTAATTATACGTTCAGGGTAATCAACAGTTAAACAGATACTGTTCAAATTATTATTTGTATTTGTTTTAAAGTTCAATAAATGGATGTTTTCAAAGTCAATGAATAATCGTATTTAATAATCGTGATATCAATTATTGACCAAAATAATCGTGATTATGATTTTTGCCATAATCGCACAGCCCTAGTTTCTTTTACAGAAGCAAAAAGCAAGCTATGACACTCAATGTTTTTGCCACTGAAGACTACAACTCCCATGATGCTACGCTGCTTCTTGTTTTCACTAAGAGACCTTTAATTCCCAAGTCGCTGAAAATCAAAAAGTTCTTTTTTTATATATATATATATATACACAGAAGACAGAAGAAAAAAGGAAGTTATGACACATTTGTATGACTGATGTTTTTACCACTGAAGACTACAACTCCCATGATGCAACACTGCACAACCACCACCACACCCAACTGCAGCTTTTAAACAATGTTTTACAGAGGAAAGAATACAAATGTAAGTTATGATGCACACATTTGAATCACTGATGCATTCATGTTATCACCGCTGAAGACTACAACTCCCATGATGCTTCACTGTGCTTTTAACGTTTTTTGTAGTTTTTTCTGTCAATTTTTCTATCGTTTTTTCAGTTTGAATCCAAAGATAAAACATCATAATCCTGTGTTTATGACCCTCCCAATATCATATTTCAATTACTTGTATATAGACTTTCCCTGTACTATATCTATCCTATTGTATTTGAATTGACACTATTTGATCTGTTTTATTGTGTTGCTGTTGGAGGAGCCGTGACCTCAGATATTCATTGACATATCTCCACTGTAGCTGCTGTGCACATGATGATAAAAGCCTTGAACCTGAGTCCTGACACACCTTTGATGAGGGTGGAGCCCCCACACAGCACGATGGTGGAGTACAGCGTGCGTCTCAGGTCCATGTCAGACTTCTGGATGGCGTACGCTAAAACCTCGTGAATCCCAGAGGACTCGTCTCCAATCAGATCGGGTCTGAAGAGAAGCTCTGGAGCTCTGAAGCGGGCTGGACCAATCTGAAGAGAGGAAGAGGAGGAGGAGGGAGAGGGGGGAGGAAACAGGTTTATTACCACAGATAAACACAGATAGAAGTATTTTAAGAAACCTATAATAACATAAAAAAAGAATAAAAATATAGCAGTATTTACATAGAAGGTGAGTGAGGAAGAGGAGGAGGAAGAAGAAGACAGAGGACAAATGATGAAGAGGAAGGAGAACAGTAAGAAGAGGAGGAAGAGTATTCCTGACTCACGTTCAGCGTGCTCCCGTCAGGAAGCACATATTGAGCCTTCTCTGTTTCTAGAGTCTCGTCTTTCTGAGGGTTCAGAGACAGATAGCAGGCTCTCTGTGGGGGGGGGGGGGAGAAGGGGAGAGGGGGGGGGGGGGGAGAAGAGGGGGGGGGGGGGGGGAGACACAAGAATCAATTCAAGTCCAGGTTCATCCAGCTTTTCTAGAGAAGCTACAAATCAGATCCAAAGAAAAACTGTTAAAAAATGTTGTTTTTAGGAGATGTTGTTGAGTATATGATATAACATTAAAGCAGGGGGGTCAAACTCAAATACACAGTGGGCCAAAATAAAAAAAATGGGTACTAGTGGAGGGCCGGACTGGTTCAATGTTTATTGCAGAACTTATTGAAATGAACTTATTGCACATATTAAACCTGGAACTAACAAAACTTAAAGTGGACCTATCATGCTATATTATAATAATACAGTGTAGGGCCATACCTATATAAGGCATATTTATACTTTTTTTTTTTCAAAATACCAAAATGATCATGCATTTTAGCCATGCCTCATTTTGCTCAATTTGACATTTTTTAGCTCTGTTTTAGCTCTGGGCTGATTCAGTGAGAACAGCACCATCTACAGGCCTGGCATATGTACTACAGCGTCTCCAGCGCTTTCGAACGGCAATGGGCGTGGCTGTCTCCTCCTGATTGGTGGAGTTGGCCCAATAGCCGTAGCGCCACCGTCCTGACGTCAGGACAGTGTTCAAATCTGGATCAGTTTTTATCAGATCCGTTGCAGCCCCTTTTTTAGAGATTTGGGTATGGAGGAAAATAGAGAGGGTTGTGTTTTCTGACACTTGGTGAGTTCCCTGGAACACCGGGGACACATATTCATGTAGAAAAGACGTACACAAGTGCATTTTGCATGATAGGTCCCCTTTAAATGATTGCCTATAAAAACAACATGAAACATTAAATAATCAGTTGCATTCATTTCTTATGGCTCTATCTGCAGCTTCATTTCTTATGATCACATTTCTCCACAGGCCAACAACAGCTTCAACAAAACTATTTCCCTCAAAGAGAAAACCAAACATGCTCTGTTGACGTGAGAGAAAAAGTGCAGAAGGAAACATCCATGTGAACTCAGTGTGCTGCTCTGTGATGCTAGTTCAGATACTTGGCATCTCATCTTGGGTGCAAGTTCATCAATGTTTGGGGTCAGGCTCTGAGCTGAGGAGACCCTCAGGATGGAGTGAAGGTGCAATATACCGGAGGGCCAGATCTAATAGTAATTAGAAATTATCCTGCGGGCCGAAATTAAATCCACCACGGGCCTTGAGTTTGACACGTGTGCATTAAACCTGTAACCGTGCATACACCATGACCTCTCACCTCCTTGACGGTGCGCACCACCTCGAACTCGGCCGAGGTGTTGAAGTTGTACCCCTCTTTGCGCAGCAGCAGGCGGAGATACCGCGACACGTCTCTGCCGGCGATGTCCACCCTCATGATGGAGTGAGGGATGGCGAATCCTTCGTAGATCGGGACCACGTGGGTCACCCCGTCGCCCGAGTCCAGAACCACCCCGGTGGTCCGGCCCGTCGCATAACTACAAGAAAAACACAAAAACACACCATCAGGAGCCGTGTTAAGGTTTTTACCACTGAAGACTACAACTCCCATGATGCTTCACTGCACAACCACCGCTGCAAACTGCTGCTTTTAACGGGTTGTTTTTTTACAGAGGAAAGAATGAAAATGTAAGTTATGATACACACGTTTGTTTTGGCTCATGCATTGATGTGCCCGCACTGTTTTTACCACTGAAGACTACAACTCCCATGATGCAACACTCACAGGCTGAGGACGGCCTGCATGGAGATGAAGAGCGCGGGAACGTTGAAGGTCTCGAAGAAAATCTCTGCTGCTTTTTCACGATTCTTACTGGGATTCAGAGGAGCCTCTGTGAGGAGGACAGGATGCTGCAGGAGGAGGAGAGGAGGAGGAGTTAACATGAGGAGGAGGAGGAGGAGAGGAAGAGGAGGAGGAGAAGAGGAAGAGGAGATGAAGAGGAGGCTCTCTCACCTCCTCACTGAAGGTCTGCAGCTGCTCCTTGGAGTAAACGTACTGCCAGATCCTCTCCATGTCGTTCCAGTCCTTCACGATGCCGTGCTCCATGGGGTATCGAACCGACAGCAGGCCGCGGTGCTCCTGAGGGACAGAGGGACGCAGAGCGACGTCAGGGAGACGCAGAGAGACGTCAGGGAGACGCAGAGAGACGTCAGGGAGACGCAGAGAGACGTCAGGGAGACGCAGAGAGACGTCAGGGAGACGCAGAGAGACGTCAGAGAGACACAGAGAGACGTCAGGGAGACACAGAGAGACGTCAGGGAGACGCAGAGAGACGTCAGGGAGACACAGAGAGACGTCAGGGAGACACAGAGAGACGTCAGGGAGACGCAGAGAGACGTCAGGGAGACACAGAGAGACGTCAGGGAGACACAGAGAGACACAGAGAGACACAGAGAGACACAGAGAGACGTCAGGGAGACACAGAGAGACACAGAGAGACGTCAGGGAGACACAGAGAGACACAGAGAGACACGTCAGGGAGACGTCAGAGAGACGTCAGGGAGACACAGAGAGACACAGAGAGACGTCAGGGAGACACAGAGAGACGTCAGGGAGACACAGAGAGACACAGAGAGACACAGAGAGACGTCAGGGAGACACAGAGAGACACAGAGAGACGTCAGGGAGACACAGAGAGACGTCAGGGAGACACAGAGAGACACAGAGAGACACAGAGAGACACAGAGAGACGTCAGGGAGACACAGAGAGACACAGAGAGACGTCAGGGAGACACAGAGAGACACAGGGAGACACAGAGAGACACAGAGAGACACAGAGAGACGTCAGGGAGACGCAGGGAGACGTCAGGGAGACACAGAGAGAGACGTCAGGGAGACACAGAGAGACGTCAGGGAGACACAGAGAGACACAGAGAGACACAGAGAGACACAGAGAGACGTCAGGGAGACACAGAGAGACACAGAGAGACACAGAGAGACGTCAGGGAGACGCAGGGAGACGTCAGGGAGACGCAGGGAGACACAGAGAGACGTCAGGGAGACGCAGAGAGACGTCAGGGAGACACAGAGAGACGTCAGGGAGACACAGAGAGACGTCAGGGAGACACAGAGAGACGTCAGGGAGACACAGAGAGACGTCAGGGAGACACAGAGAGACGTCAGGGAGACGCAGGGAGACACAGAGAGACGTCAGGGAGACGCAGAGAGACGTCAGGGAGACGCAGAGAGACGTCAGGGAGACGCAGAGAGACACAGAGAGACGCAGAGAGACGTCAGGGAGACACAGAGAGACGTCAGGGAGACACAGAGAGACGTCAGGGAGACACAGAGAGACGTCAGGGAGACGCAGAGAGACGTCAGGGAGACGCAGAGAGACGTCAGGGAGACGCAGAGAGACGTCAGGGAGACGCAGAGAGACGTCAGGGAGACGCAGAGAGACACAGAGAGACGTCAGGGAGACGCAGAGAGACACAGAGAGACGTCAGGGAGACGCAGAGAGACGTCAGGGAGACACAGAGAGACGTCAGGGAGAGAGCAGAGAGAGAGAGACGCAGAGAGAGACGTCAGGGAGACACAGAGAGACGTCAGGGAGACGCAGAGAGACGTCAGGGAGACGCAGAGAGACGTCAGGGAGACGCAGAGAGACACAGAGAGACGTCAGGGAGACGCAGAGAGACACAGAGAGACGTCAGGGAGACGCAGAGAGACACAGAGAGACGTCAGGGAGACGCAGAGAGACGTCAGGGAGACGAGAGACGTCAGAGAGACACAGAGAGACGTCAGAGAGACACAGAGAGACGTCAGGGAGACACAGAGAGACGTCAGGGAGACACAGAGAGACGTCAGGGAGACACAGAGAGACGTCAGAGAGACACAGAGAGACGTCAGGGAGACACAGGGAGACACAGAGAGACGTCAGGGAGACACAGAGAGACGTCAGGGAGACACAGAGAGACGTCAGGGAGACACAGAGAGACACAGAGAGACGCAGAGAGACGTCAGGGAGACGCAGAGAGACGTCAGGGAGACACAGAGAGACGTCAGGGAGACGCAGAGAGACGTCAGGGAGACGCAGAGAGACGTCAGGGAGACACAGAGAGACGTCAGGGAGACGTCAGAGAGACGTCAGGGAGACACAGAGAGACACAGAGAGACGCAGAGAGACGTCAGGGAGACGTCAGGGAGACACAGAGAAACGTCAGGGAGACACAGAGAGACGTCAGAGAGACACAGAGAGACGTCAGGGAGACACAGAGAGACGTCAGAGAAACACAGAGAGACGTCAGGGAGACACAGAGAGACGTCAGAGAGACACAGAGAGACGTCAGGGAGACACAGAGAGACGTCAGGGAGACACAGAGAGACGTCAGAGAGACGTCAGGGAGACACAGAGAGACACAGAGAGACGTCAGAGAGACACAGAGAGACGTCAGGGAGACACAGAGAGACGTCAGGGAGACACAGAGAGACGTCAGACAGCTCCACAGAGGAAGCTACTGAGTGAGATGTTTCCTTGGTTCCCTAGCCGTGTTTCTTTGACATAAAGCTCTGAGCTCCTGAGGAGAGAGGAACTGAGGAGAGAGGAACTGAGGAGAGAGGAACTGAGGAGAGAGGAACTGAGGAGAGAGGAACATCAGGAACTGAACTCCACAAATGAAAGCTGAAAGCATCAAGCGTCAGTTTGTTTTCAGTTCCTTTCTCAAAGAGGGAGTCTTAGTTCCCTCACGGCCGTCCACACGGTAGCGTGCGTTGCTGAACTGCATTGTGGGTCCGTCGCTTCGCGTTGCTCGCTTCGAGAGTTGAGAAAAGTTCAACTTTTGAAGCTTCCACGTCGATGGAAAGATGTATTTGTCCGATATTATAAATAACACGTCCCGGACGATCGGACGTGTGCTTTTTTCCGCACACTGCGATGTGGCCGCTGGCATAAAGTTAGCTGAAATGAACCAGCTAGATTTCACTGTTTCTCGTTTTTCTTCTTCTCACGCCTCACACTTTGAAAACCGCTGCTCTAGCCAATCAAACTGCGTGCTTGTGTGTCCGGGGCGGGAGATTCATGTGATTGGTTGTTGGTCGAGCTTCAGACACGCCCACCGGCAAGCTTCAACGCACGCTGCCGTGTGGAGGAAGCCGTGCGTCTTTTACCTAAAGCTCTGTTTTCAGAGAGAAGCAAAAAACGATCTGGTTTCTGTCTCTGGATATCTGGAAGAACACGGCTCTGATTCTCCTGAGGGACGTCTGAGGGGAGGCTGAGGGACGTCTGAGGGGAGGCTGAGGGGAGGCTGAGGGGAGGCTGAGGGACGTCTGAGGGGAGGCTGAGGGGAGGCTGAGGGACGTCTGAGGGGAGGCTGAGGGGAGGCTGAGGGGAGGCTGAGGGACGTCTGAGGGGAGGCTGAGGGGAGGCTGAGGGACGTCTGAGGGGAGGCTGAGGGGAGGCTGAGGGACGTCTGAGGGGAGGCTGAGGGGAGGCTGAGGGGAGGCTGAGGGACGTCTGAGGGGAGGCTGAGGGGAGGCTGAGGGACGTCTGAGGGGAGGCTGAGGGGAGGCTGAGGGGAACTGATCCAGATCCCAGGGGGGGAATCTATAAGAGCCTTTCTACATATATGTTATGTTAGTAACAGATTTGGACTAAATCTAAGACTTTGAGGAAACCTCTGCTCTGAAGCATGGACGCACACATCTGATATATAGACGCAAAGAAAGCTCCTCTGTTCTGGTTCTTGGTCTCTGGCCTAACCCCGAAGCTACATGTGACTTTGTGTTCATGCAAGAAGTGAATGTCAGATAGTTTGGGGGGGGGGGGGCTGATTCCTCTTTAAGTCTGAGTTACATATTTTCTGAATAAAGTCCACATTGTGCATCAGCTAGAGAGAGAGACAGAGACAGAGACAGAGAGACAGAGACAGAGACAGAGACAGAGACAGAGACAGAGAAACAGACAGACAGACAGACAGACAGACAGACAGACAGACAGACAGACAGACAGACAGACACACAGATGAGGGGTGTGTTACCTCTGCTTTGGGTCCGATGAACAGGTCTCCCTCCAGCGCTCCTGCCATGACACGCACATGCTTTGGACGCCCCACACTGCACGCACACACACACACACACACACACACACACACACACACACACACACACAGTTAAATGTCAATATAACACAGAACAAAATATAAAAAATGTCTGGCATTTTGAAGACAAAGTGATCGAGATAAATCCAACAAATCCAGCAGCTTTTTCGTAAGTTAAAATGAGTGCAACCTTAAACACCAGGAACATTGAAAACAGACAAAAATGTGTCAAATAAGTTTGAAAATACACAGATCTTTTTTAAAATGTGTTAAAGACATAAAAAAAAAAGTTCTACGTTTTTTAAAATATATTTGATAAATAAATTCCACACATCTCTGCCGTGTATCAAACCACATGATAGCGACCAATACAAAAGAAACTGAAGATTTAAGGCGGTAAAATGAGTGCAACTTAAAGACTGGTTAAATGCTGAATACATTGTGAAAATGTCGCATAGAACATTATAATAAAAACCAAAAATACGTCCAAAAAAAATGTCTTAAAAATATTTCTAAAAATCCTAAAGAAATGTAAAATATATATTTGATCAAATGTTAAGAAAGTGATTTCTTATTAAACACATGTCTGGCCTTTCTTAGACAAAGTGATGGTGATGAATGAGTGTTTCCCATACATTGATTTATTTGTGGCGGTCTAATGGATAGTGAGGTGGGCTGATGATCGGAAGGTTGCGAGTTCAAATCCCGCCTGGAACACCACTACTAGTCCACTACCACTACCACTTAGCCCTCAGTCACTCCAGGGAGAATGTCCCTGTAATTGGTCATTGGAAGTCGCTTTGGAATAAGGCGTCTGCTAAATGCCTGAATTGTAAATTATAAATTATATTTTTGGGAGAATAAACCCCACAGATCCTCAACTCCGGTGGGTTTCACTCATTAACAACGCAGCTCAGAGCAACAAGAACGTTGTCTGCTACAGTAGCCATGAACTCGCATGTATTTTCTTATTTAAGGGGGGGGGGGGGGGATGCGTGGCTAAGGAGCAGAGGGACACTCACTAGTTGGGGAAGCTGTATTATCAAAACTATAACTGGCTAAATATAGGAGGAAGTGTGCAGAAGAGTGCAACCTTAAACACCAGAAAAATATGTGAAAAATGTGTATAGAATATTTAAATTAAGTCTGAAAATATATTTAAAAAATCTGAAGAAATTACAAGAAATATATTTTAGAAAATTGATATGTTATGAAACACATTTCTGGCCTTTTTTTTTTTTTAGACAAAGTGATGGTGATACATCCAAATAAAACCATCAGATGATCAGCTAATGTTTCCTCTGTGTTTCAGGGGGACACTCACTAGTTAGGGAAGCAGTATTTGGGGATCTGGTCTCCTGCGAAGCCGGCTTTGATGACCCCCGAACCCTGAGGAGCACAACGAGGAATCATGAGAAACAAACATCACAGGGTCTGACACTCAGGGAGGTCATGAGACACAGCCTGAAGCCAGCCACACACACACACACACACACACACACACACACACACACACACACACACACACACACACACACACACACACACACACACACACACACACACACACACACACACACACACACACACACACACACACACACACACACACACACACACACACACACACACACACACACACACACACACACACACACACACACACACACCACACACACACACACACACACACACACACACACACACACACACACACACACACACACACACACACACACACACACTCACACACACACACACACACACACACACACACACACACACACACACACACACACACACACACACACACACACACACACACACACACACACACACACACACACACACACACACACACACACACACAACACACACACACACACACACACACACACTATATAAAAAGTTCATTATTTACCCGAAACACACCCAAATGAAACAGATCATGGGACCTGATTAGAAATGTGTCATAAAGTAACACTGAAAGCATTGTTAGCGTGCTTTAACACACACTATATTTAATATAAGGCGTCATACACATAAGATGGTATTAAAGCTTCAATGATAAACAGAAGAATAGTTGCCAGGTTTGTTGAAAACCTCAACATTTTGTGAGTATTTTTCATGCAAAATGGCAAAGATTGTGGTCTCAGCTTCATATAAAGGGATATGTCCGTCTTTGTCATATTTTATATCACATTAAGGTGATTTTATTTACATTTAAAGACATGTTTCACTATTCTCTGATATTTGTAGACCATAGGATCAATCAATGAATCTAGTAATCATGTAATCAGTCTGTTCATCTGTAATGAAGATAATTGGTAGTGGCAGAAATAGATAGGATTAGTCTTTTTTAATAAGTTTACCAATTACTGTCTGGAGAGAAAAAAGCTTTCAAAATAGGATAATTTGGTGTAGATTGAACCATCCAACTGGATATTTAAGTGACTGAAACCACGAGTGGAAAACAGAGAATTAATTGGAATTAATAAGTTTTTTGCTGCTTTTGTTTTGAAACATATTTAAATATTTTAGTACTTTTACTCCCTTAGTAAATTGTCATAATTGTAGTTAAACAGGTGTACTTCAAAATCATTCTCTATGCAAGGCTTGTACTTGAACATGAGTATTTGTACACTGTGATATGTGTACTTGTACTTAATACTTCTACAGCAGTAATCCAGAAACCTCAGATAGATATATAATATAACACACTCATCAGTACTTTAACTACAGCTTAATACACAATCAATACTTAATGTACACAATGCTGATAACCAGTGGTGGAAAGTAAAAAAAGTACATGTACTAATTTGAGGTACTTCATAGTATACTACTTTATACTTCTACTCTACTACATTTTGAAAGCAAACTTTGTACATTTTACAGATTGTTTCTACTAGTTACTTTATACATTCAGACTTTGATGCACACAATTAAGGAACACTTTTAAAATAGGATAATTAGGTGTAAATTGAACCATCCAACTGGATATTTAAGTGACTGAAACCATGAGTGGAAAACAGAGAATTAATTGGAATTAATACGTGTTTTGTTTTTAAAATATTGAAAGCTTTTTACTCCCTTAGTACAATACCCTAATTGTATTTAAAAACTGGTACTTAAGAATCATTCTCTATGCAGTGCTTGTACTTGAACATGAGTATTTGTACAGGGTGATATGTGTACTTGTACTTAAAGTAAATCATCTGAATACTGATTCCGGCTGGTAACAGGATGATAAAGGTTTGACAGCAGAGCTAGCATCCTGCTGTCTGTTCTTCACATAAAGAGGCAGATATTTAACCTGTAGAGCTGATTGTTGACTCTCATATCATTACTGACAGCTCGACACAGCTACTTAGGTATTTATCATTATTAATATATATGTTTATAATACAGCTAAAGCACCACAGCTAACAGTATGATCTGGTTGCTAAGCTAAGCTAACCGGTTTCTGCTGGAAGCTAGCTTCTGTTTTAACTGTTGTGATAAAGCAAGGCATGTTATTAATACTATCAGTTGAAGATATGCTAACAAGTGGAAACCAGTGAATGCATTGTTAATCACTAAAGTAATAAAGGCATTATAATGTGTTTTCATCAGCTATAACACAATAAAGCTAACAGGCCTCACATTAGGGTGTGGATGAATGACATCATAAATACTCACATTATCGATCACAACGGGCTGGTTAGCTAAGATGTCATAGGACTCCATGACGGGTTTGGTTTGGGAGATATGTTTCTATATATCCGTGTGAGTTTTCCTCCTGTTTTTAGTGTTTTATTCATGAAAAATATACCGCGCTGTCATCAACCTCCGAGCCGCTCCTATACTGCTACCGTTACACCCGCCTCCTGTGCCAACAACACAACGCTATCACGCATTGGTGACTGACGGGGAGAATGAGCCAATCATATTCATGGATACTTTGAGTGACAGGGGTTTTAACCAATCATAGCGCTTTACCGGATGGCCATGCGTTGCAGAGCTGTTTGCGTCAGGCAGGGGGAGAATCTTCGGAAAGTACAGCTTCTCTTTGTGAGAAAAACGCCCCGTTTAACTTAAATAAATAATAAATAATAATCCCGGTCACAAACCTATGGATAAAAGGGCAATTACATAACTAGTGTTGCTAGTTTTGTTTTATATTAGAGTGCCTCTGTGTCAATATAGTAGTTCTAAAGATATAAATGCTTTCCACATAATATTGAAAATAATTATCCAGACAGCGGCAGAGTGAGTGTCTAAATTCCTACATACTTGAATGCAGCATCCAACGTCAGCTGCCGACCAATCAGAAAGCTTCTTTAACTCTAGCTAGCTTACTATGGTTAGCATAACACAACCGAGCAAAACATGACATAATGCAAAACGAAATTAGCAGTAAAATCACAATATAACTGGATATTTTCTTCCTTTTTCAGGTAGGTGGTGATTTAATATCAATACAACACAGCTGATTATTGAACTGACAGGTTACGAGGTCATCTATATTATCGGTTAAAGAAGTGTAGTTGTCGTTTTTACTAGTTAGCTTAGCTTCGTAATGTAAAATGAACCGCAATGCTAACTAGCTTCTCCTGTTAGCATTAGCATAAGTTGTGTCTTCGAGGTTAAAATAAGTGACATTTAGTGGGTTTTTGCTCATAAACGAAGCAAAAGTCGATTTTAATTACGCATTTATTATCACAATTCTTTAATGTGTATATAGTACACTTTGATTATAAGTTCAGCAGATGGGTATATAAGAGAGTATTGTCATTTATTCTGTATATTTTATAGTGTTTAGATTCTCTGTATTTTTTACTGATGATATTTTAACATCGTTTTTCATCATTTTTTATGTCTATTTTATTTGTAATTTATTCTATTTGGTAGGTATTTTTTTTAGTTATAGTAGATTGACTGTCAAAATGTTTTGCTGTGACAAAATCGTTTCCTAACTTGTGATATAACAAAGTATATATCTATATCTATCTGAATTAAAAGACATTGACTTCAGGTGAGTGTTTGTAAAGTTAGGAATACTTTTACTATCATTTTATGGTCTGTGCTCTGTCACACTTTACCTCTGGACTCTGACTTTGGACTTGAAGGAAGAGAACAGGTGGACAAGTACTACATGTACAAATACTCTGTTACTGCATTAAAAAAATCTTGTTGGTCAAGGTGGAGCAACTTCTAATTAATGTATACTGACAGACAGACATTACTAGACTATCTAAGTAACGAAAACATTGAATAAATGGAATACTCTGTCTCACTAAGCTACAGAAATATAAAGAAAAATACTACACACACATATTGACATTTGATTGTATATACATTACAATTGTAGTAAGGTGTGTTTTTAAAGTGTGTGTTTGTGGTTCTTTCAGAGGAGCTGTGTTCATGTTAACATCCAGGAGAGCAGAGTCTGTTCACCATGGCCCTCGCTGAGGAGACGCCCGAGAAGTAAGATAATATAATACAATATAATATAAGATACTATAGGATAATATAAGAAACAATACAACATTATAAATCCTGTCACTAAGACCACATCCATCCGAGAGCACGTCATGTTTAGGCTTATTTTGTTTCTGGAATATTTTGTGCATTTTTTTCAGCAGATACAATTTCTAAATATGCTGTGTGTGCGTGTCTCTCTGTGTGTGTGTTCCTGTGCGTCTGTGTGTGTATGTGTGTGTGTTCCTGTGTGTGTGTCTGTTTGTGTCTCTGTGTGTGTGTCTCTCTCTCTCTCTCTCTCTCCCTCTCCCTCTCCCTCTCCCTCTCCCTCTCCCTCTCTCCCTCCCCAGACACTGCTGGGTGTGTTTCGCGACAGAGAGAGACGACCTGAGTGCAGAGTGGGTGAGTCCCTGCCGCTGTAAAGGCTGCACCAAGTGGATCCATCAGAACTGTCTGCAGCGATGGCTGGACGAGAAGCAGAAGGGGAACAGCGGGGGGGCGGTCAGCTGTCCGCAGTGTGGCACCGAGTATCACATCACCTTCCCCAAGATGGGTACGTTTCAAAAGTGTTGGGAAAATCCTGAATGTCTTCTTCCAATATCAGAGTCCACATTAATAACAAAGGTATCCCAACTGTAGCTGTGTACATGACAGGATGTATGATTACCTAGAAGAGACTGTTTTAGGCATATGATAGCTATGTGATTAACATGATGATTCAGCCTCTATGGAGATAGACATATGACAAGCATGCTCATTTCTGACGTGGAGCTAATCTGAAGTAAACATTGAATACTGCTTTCTATTCCTCCATCTTGTGACTGTGTAACTCCCTCTCTTGGATATCAGCATGTGAAGGACACTGTTCAGGAACTAGTTGATGCTCTGTATGTGATGACTACTTCCATTCTGGAGAGGATCACAGATACATGGATCCTGAGATTGAAGCTCAAGCCGGGGACCAGGGATTATTAACATTTTAGAGATTTCAGAAAAAGTCATAATTTTGAGATTTTTGAGAAAAAGTCAGAATTTTGAGAAAAAGTCAGAATTTTGAGAAAAAGTCAGAATTTTGAGAAAAAGTCAGAATTTTGAGAAAAAGTCAGAATTTTGAGATTTTGAGAAAAATACCAACAAATTCGGAAGTAGTCTTCACACAGGGCTGCGTGGGACAAATAGTTCCCAGAGTAGAGTCCTTGATATGCTTTATATACAAGAGAGGGTGTTACAGTCAACAAGATGGAGGACTCCTGGTTCAAAGCAAAGACATTAGTTCAGATTAGCTAAGGCCTGCGTAAGCAATAAACATGACAGTCATATGTCTATCTCTCTAGGGGCTGTGTCATCATGCCAATCTGAGGAACATAGCTATCATAACTTCAACACAGTGTCTCATGAGCGTCATCCATGTAGTCATACATCCAGCTACGTACACAGCTACGTAGGGCCTCTGTTATCACGTGCTACTCTGATACAGAAGGAACATTCAGTATTTTCCCAACATTAACCCTGTTTGTGTGTTTGTTGTTGTTGTCCCCAGGCCCGCTGGTGTACTTCCTGCAGCAGGTGGACCGCGCTCTGACTCGGGTCAGTCCCTTCGCTGCCGTCGGGGTCGTGGTGGGCTCCGTGTACTGGTCCGCCGTCACGTACGGAGCCGTCACCGTCATGCAGGTATAAATGAAACCCTCTGGAGAGCTGTGATGTATCAAACACAATGTTCCTACATTCAAACTGATATGGCAATATACCTCACCTCGAGGTCTGTTCCCACAAATAATAGTGTGTTATGTATTAAATGTGTGTGTGTGGTGTGTGTGTGTGTAGGTGGTGGGTCATAAGAAGGGTCTCCATGTGATGGAACGGGCCGACCCCCTCTTCTTGCTGATGGGCCTCCCGACGATCCCCGTGCTGCTGGTTCTGGGGAAGATGATCCGCTGGGAGGACTACCTGGTGAAGCTGTGGCAGAAGCACAGAGGGAAGATCACACCAGGTACACACTCACACACACACACACACACACACACACTCACACTCACAGGAACACACACTCACACACACACACACACACACCCACACACTCACACTCACACTCACACTCACACACACACACACACACAGGAACATGCACACACACACACACGCACACACACACACACACTCATGCACATGCTCACACAGGAACACACACACACACACACAGGAACACACACACACACACACACACAGGAACACACACACACAGGAACACACACAGGAACACACACAGGAACACACACACACTGACACACAGGAACACACACACACTCACACACACACACACACACACACACAGGAACACACACACACAGGAACACACACACACTGACACACACAGGAACACACACACACTCACACACACAGGAACACACACAGGAACACACACAGGAACACACACACACTGACACACACAGGAACACACACACACTCACACACACACACACACACACACACAGGAACACACACACACAGGAACACACACACACTGACACACACAGGAACACACACACACTCACACACACACACAGGAACACACACACACAGGAACACACACACACTGACACACACAGGAACACACACACACTCACACACACACACACACACAGGAACACACACAGGAACACACACACACTGACACACACAGGAACACACACACACTCACACACACACACACACACACTGACACACACAGGAACACACACAGGAACACACACACACTGACACACACAGGAACACACACACACTCACACACACACACACACACACAGGAACACACACACACAGGAAACACACACACACTGACACACACAGGAACACACACACACTCACACACACACACAGGAACACACACACACAGGAACACACACACACTGACACACACAGGAACACACACACACTCACACACACACACACACACAGGAACACACACAGGAACACACACACACTGACACACACAGGAACACACACACACTCACACACACACACACACACACAGGAACACACACACACAGGAACACACACACACTGACACACACACACTCACACACACACACACAGGAACACACACACACACCCACAGAGGGAAGATCACACCAGGTACACACACACACACACACATACACACACACACATTAGTTTATCTTTTGTTTGAGTAGTAACTTTTATTTATTTATACTTGTATTTAGACATTTATGCATTAGTTTATTTTAATTATTCATAATTATGGCATTTTCTGTACACAGATCAGTAGATTCTGTTAAATCCTCCCATACATTTTGAATGCACCAGCCTGCATTAAGTCAGTGATATTAATTGATTGAATTGACTTGATATATCACATATCCCCCTGCAGGCCGTTACCTGCCCAGAGTCCCTGCTGACGGCCTCGCAGCCGGAGACCATCTTTCTGTTTCTCGGACTCTGTGTGGAGCGCTCGTTTTCCCCACCATCGCCTCCCTGGTGGGGCGGCTGCTCTTCAGAAAGATGCCCTCCAACCTCCAGCGTACCGTACTGGTGAATAAACCCTTTAAAGTTATTTATTATCATCATCAAGGCTGTTACGCTACCAGAGGAGGGAAGTAGTGGAGTACAAATACTTCGTTACTGTACTTAAGTACATGTTTCTGGTTTCAGTACTTTACTCCACTACTTATTTCTCTGACCACTTTTTACTTTGACTTCTTACATGTTGAACACAAATACCTGTACTTTCTACTTCTTACATGTTGAACACAAATACCTGTACTTTCTACTTCTTACATGTTGAACACAAATACCTGTACTTTCTACTTCTCACATGTTGAACACAAATACCTGTACTTTCTACTTCTTACATGTTGAACACAAATACCTGTACTTTCTACTTCTTACATGTTGAACACAAATACCTGTACTTTCTACTTCTCACATGTTGAACACAAATACCTGTACTTGCTACTTCTTACATGTTGAACACAAATACCTGTACTTTCTACTTCTCACATGTTGAACACAAATACCTGTACTTTCTACTTCTCACATGTTGAACACAAATACCTGTACTTTCTACTTCTTACATGTTGAACACAAATACCTGTACTTTCTACTTCTTACATGTTGAACACAAATACCTGTACTTTCTACTTCTCACATGTTGAACACAAATACCTGTACTTTCTACTTCTCACATGTTGAACCCAAATACCTGTACTTTCTACTTCTTACATGTTGAACACAAATACCTGTACTTTCTACTTCTTACATGTTGAACCCAAATACCTGTACTTTCTACTTCTTACATGTTGAACACAAATACCTGTACTTTCTACTTCTTACATGTTGAACACAAATACCTGTACTTTCTACTTCTCACATGTTGAACCCAAATACCTGTACTTTCTACTTCTTACATGTTGAACACAAATACCTGTACTTTCTACTTCTTACATGTTGAACACAAATACCTGTACTTTCTACTTCTCACATGTTGAACCCAAATACCTGTACTTTCTACTTCTTACATGTTGAACCCAAATACCTGTACTTTCTACTTCTTACATTTTGAACCCAAATACCTGTACTTTCTACTTCTTACATGTTGAACCCAAATACCTGTACTTTCTACTTCTTACATGTTGAACCCAAATACCTGTACTTTCTACTTCTTACATGTTGAACACAAATACCTGTACTTTCTACTTCTTACATGTTGAACACAAATACCTGTACTTTCTACTTCTTACATGTTGAACCCAAATACCTGTACTTTCTACTTCTTACATGTTGAACCCAAATACCTGTACTTTCTACTTCTTACATGTTGAACTCAAATACCTGTACTTTCTACTTCTTACATGTTGAACCCAAATACCTGTACTTTCTACTTCTTACATGTTGAACACAAATACCTGTACTTTCTACTTCTTACATGTTGAACCCAAATACCTGTACTTTCTACTTCTTACATGTTGAACCCAAATACCTGTACTTTCTACTTCTTACATGTTGAACACAAATACCTGTACTTTCTACTTCTTACATGTTGAACCCAAATACCTGTACTTTCTACTTCTTACATGTTGAACACAAATACCTGTACTTTCTACTTCTTACATGTTGAACTCAAATACCTGTACTTTCTACTTCTCACATGTTGAACCCAAATACCTGTACTTTCTACTTCTTACATGTTGAACACAAATACCTGTACTTTCTACTTCTTACATGTTGAACACAAATACCTGTACTTTCTACTTCTCACATGTTGAACCCAAATACCTGTACTTTCTACTTCTTACATGTTGAACCCAAATACCTGTACTTTCTACTTCTTACATGTTGAACACAAATACCTGTACTTTCTACTTCTTACATGTTGAACCCAAATACCTGTACTTTCTACTTCTTACATGTTGAACACAAATACCTGTACTTTCTACTTCTTACATGTTGAACACAAATACCTGTACTTTCTACTTCTTACATGTTGAACCCAAATACCTGTACTTTCTACTTCTCACATGTTGAACCCAAATACCTGTACTTTCTACTTCTTACATGTTGAACCCAAATACCTGTACTTTCTACTTCTCACATGTTGAACCCAAATACCTGTACTTTCTACTTCTTACATGTTGAACCCAAATACCTGTACATTCTACTTCTCACATTTCCCAAACAGGCTGGTTCCTTTAGTTTGAATGTGTGTTTGGTGGCGTGATCATTATTATTTAGAGTCATTGCGTGCCTATTGATTTGAACACGATCCGTGTATCCATCATTTCCTGGTCTTCTCTAAAGAAGAGGGACCAATGAAAACGTTGTCATGTTGCCGTTGTTCAGCATGGAAACATTCATTAGCTAACAATGACATTATTGTTCTATTAATATAAAGGGAGGTCAGGTACTCTTTAAAACAGCTGCTAGTTATGGGTACTTTTTACTGAAGTACATTTCAAAGCCCTCTTTACTTTCACTTGAGTAAAGAAGTTTAGTCAGTACTTCTACTTTCACCAGAGTATTTTTAAACACGAGTATCTGTACTTCTACTTTCACCAGAGTATTTTTAAACACGAGTATCTGTACTTCTACTTGAGTACAGGATGTGTGTACTTCTACTTGAGTACAGGATGTGTGTACTTCTACTTGAGTACAGGATGTGTGTACTTCTACTTGAGTAAAGGATGTGTGTACTTCTACTTGAGTAAAGGATGTGTGTACTTCTACTTGAGTACAGGATGTGTGTACTTCTACTTGAGTAAAGGATGTGTGTACTTCTACTTGAGTAAAGGATGTGTGTACTTCTACTTGAGTAAAATATGTGTGTACTTCTACTTGAGTACAGGATGTGTGTACTTCTACTTGAGTACAGGATGTGTGTACTTCTACCTGAGTACAGGATGTGTGTACTTCTACCTGAGTACAGGATGTGTGTACTTCTACTTGAGTACAGGATGTGTGTACTTCTACTTGAGTACAGGATGTGTGTACTTCTACTTGAGTACAGGATGTGTGTACTTCTACTTGAGTACAGGATGTGTGTACTTCTACCTGAGTACAGGATGTGTGTACTTCTACCTGAGTACAGGATGTGTGTACTTCTACCTGAGTACAGGATGTGTGTACTTCTACCTGAGTACAGGATGTGTGTACTTCTACTTGAGTACAGGATGTGTGTACTTCTACTTGAGTACAGGATGTGTGTACTTCTACCTGAGTACAGGATGTGTGTACTTCTACTTGAGTACAGGATGTGTGTACTTCTACTTGAGTACAGGATGTGTGTACTTCTACTTGAGTACAGGATGTGTGTACTTCTACCTGAGTACAGGATGTGTGTACTTCTACCTGAGTACAGGATGTGTGTACTTCTACCTGAGTACAGGATGTGTGTACTTCTACCTGAGTACAGGATGTGTGTACTTTGAAGTGTCTCACTGACTCCCCTCTCCTCCTGCAGGGCGGCATTGCCTTCGTTCTGATTAAAGGAGTGATGAAGGTTTACTTCAAACAGCAGCAGTGCACCAACCAGGCCAGCAGACACATCCTGGACTATTACCCAGAGACACAAACAGAGGGACAAAGTGACGGAGCCGAGGACGAGGACACGGAGGACAGCGGCAACGAGTAGTTTGAATAAAGAGGAGAGAGAGAAAACTGGGAAAATGGGATTTACTGTAAAAAAATCACCTTTTTGCTTTAATAAAGGTGAGTCTGAGAGAGAAGGCGTTTCAAGAGGCCCTTTGCTGTGCTGTGTAAATGTTCTCCAACACATTGTGCCTGATAGGCTAAAGGGGCGGGACATCTCTAAGCTGTTGACCAATCACAACAGAGCCGGCCAGCTAACCAATCAGAGCAGACTGGGCTCTGGTTTCAGACAGAGGGTGAAAAGAGGACAGGCAGTATGAGAAAAATAAAGAGCTTTTTGAACATTAAAGCATGGAGAGGACTCTTTAAAGTAGAGTCACTACATACTGATATACACTTGAACATCAGCAGGAGAGGACTCTTTAAAGTAGAGACACTACACCTGAACATCAGCAGGAGAGAACTCTTTAAAGTAGAGACACTACACCTGAACATCATCAGGAGAGGACTCTTTAAAGTATAGACACTACACCTGAACATCATCAGGAGAGGACTCTTTAAAGTAGAGACACTACACCTGAACATCAGCAGGAGAGGACTCTTTAAAGTAGAGACTCCACATATTAATATGAACATGAACAGATTACTCTTTAACTTTCTCCTCCTGTCTTATTCTCTCTGAACATATCAGAGTTCCTCTCATCCCTCAAATCTACGGATACTTGAAGATATTTATAAATATATATGATGTTGCCTTTTCTTTTATTAAATATAGGAACCACTCACCTTTACTTTCAGATCAGCAAGAAACACAGACTGATAATTAGGAAAGGGAGGATTTAAATTGTAAAAAGCATGAAAGGAATCATCAAATGTAGAAAAATCATCACGTTCACAATAACCCCAAAGTCAAACGGAAACGAGCGCAGTGTGTCTGGAAGTCTAGATGTGTGTTTGTACTTCAGAATTTAGAATATTTGGTGATTAAAACAGAACAAATGGTATAGAGAGGCGAAGTCCCGCCCATCTACTTCCGACCCATGGGAACTTATTTCGGAAAAAGTTTGTATTGAAGTCAATGGAGAGAGAAAACATATCTTTCGATCCCGTTTGAATTGTGCCATGAATTACACATATGATGTTTGTCAAATTTAACAAATAATTTCCATGTCAAAAAAGTCACAAAACTGTTGAAATATAAGACTATGAAAAATACGCAACTAGAAAGACTACAAATCCCAGAGTCCCGGTCCCGCATGCTGGCTCTTAGGAACCGACTAACTCCCCTTGTGTGTATGTACAGCTCCAGGGGGTCCGCTATTATTAAAAGTTGATAAATCAATTTAGCGAAAATGGAGGCTATTAAAAAGTATTAAAGGGCATTTTCCAAGGTATTACATTTTGTAGCTTGTTTCCAATAAGTATATAAATGGTCCAAAGAGGTTGTATTCTACAGTCTGCCTGAATGTAATCATTGCGTAGGTGTGTAGTGTGATTCTGTGTAGTTTATTGATGGCATCCCGTTGGGTTTGACGTCATCTGAACAGGACATCGCACGCTCACTGCTTGATAGCGTGCGACGGCCCGTTTACGCCGGTTGTTAAACAACATCGTTATGGGGAAATGCAAGTCTGCGTCCAAATGGTTGGAAGATAAGGAGGAAGGACAATCAATACTGTATATAGTCAATGTGAGGTAAAGTGTGTCGCCAAGGTAACCGGTTAGAACTCAAAGTGGCGAAGAGGTCTTAAAATGTATTGAAAGGGTCTTAAAAGGTCTTACATGTGACTTCAGGATTCCTGCTTATACCCTGAGCTCTCAACATGCCCAGACTTGTAGTGATTTTCACCTCTTTTAATACTTTCCGCCTCATTCTGAAAGACAGAAGTGAAATGTGCCAACGTGACGGCCGTCTTGGTGTGTGGTGCGAGACGGGAGATGTAGGTCATTGAGCGGTTTTCACACAAAGTGTTACTTCACAGTTTTACCACACATTTTAATTTTTTTGACTTGTAAAATTATCTTTTAAATTGACAAACATCATATGTGTAATTCGTGGCACAGTTCAAACGGGATCCAAAGATAATCTTTCTCTCTCCATTGACTTCAATGCATACTTTTTCTGAAATAAGGTCCCATGGAGGAAAGGGAGGGACTTCGTGTCTTGAGTGCATGTAACTTAATGAGCCTTAAAAACACACGTCTTCCTTTAATGTGCCTTATTTAAAGCACTTTTTAATAACAGAACAACCTTATTTTCTGCAAAGCACTGTTCTGTAACACGATGGTTATTAATCGCTGACCGACGTTGTGATACCTGCTTGAATTGTGATCGTTTTTGGATCATTTTTCTGGATTTATTGCGTTGGTTTTTGAGCTACTGGATTAAGAAATTGCCCTGAATTGTTTTCCTTCAAACTCCTTTTTAAGAGATAATTAAATTCTTGCTTTGGCTCAACATTGTCTGACTTACAGCAGAGTTATTTACCTGTTTAATACAATAATAATAACATTTGGATGAGCTGCTGAAGTGTCACATGCTCCCAAAAGGAAACTGAAAGCAATCAAAACGTTTCACAGTTTGTTTTTATTCTTCACGAGTCGATTGTGGTTGTTTGCACTCTCTCTGCCGGCACATACATTTATATTTTTGGAGAAAAAACGTTTAATTTAAAGTTCATTGTGCAATAAAAACATAATTGAGTTTTCTGCTCTTGCCAAATGAACATACTCTGGGACTTTAATTGCACGATTTTATGTTAAAATGAGCTCTTATTATATGTTTTGGTGATTCATTTGTTTAATAAAGCTCTTTGTGAACACAGTGTCTTTTTTACTACGCCTCACACCTACAAATTAAATAAAAAAGCCAGAGTATAAGTACAAAAATCCTCATTTACTACCAAATAATTATGATTTTGGTACCATTTAAGGTGATAAATGTAAAAAAAAATTGTATGTGAATTTCATATATTGTCATGTATGAGTAGCAATTTTTTCCCTGCATCCATCCCTCTGGGTACACACACGCGCACACACACACACACACACACACACACTCACAACATTTCCATTAAAAATATCAATCCAGAAGTATTTGATAGTGTCTATGGTATAATTGTTATATTATTATTGATGCATTAATGTGTCCCTCACTGTAATATTGCAGCTGGTAAATTACGGGTTTATTTTTATGAATTCTTTAAACTGATAGGAATTTCTCTAGTGTAAAGTTAGCATTGTAAAAATAAATAAAACATCATTCTTTTGATTTTCATATGTGATGTTATCCAGGTCCCGCCCACTCTGATCCCTGATTGGCTGTCGCGGTTTCCTCTCAGCAGCTGATTGGCTGTTTCCGCGTTTGAGTGTATTCCGGAGCAGAAACAGGAAACAGACCGTTGCTAAACTGTTGCTAAAGGATGTATTTAATGTTTATTTTCTGAGCTGTTGATTGTTTAACTGATTTTATTTGGCCATGAGAAGAGTCACACTGTTTGTCAACGGAACCTCCTCAAATGGAAAGGTAAGCTGTGGCCATAGACTGTAGCCTATAAATACATAAATATAGATGTGTTTGGTTAGCATGCTGCTAAAAACAAAAACGGCTACGTAAGCTTTTCAGTCTGTTTTTTTACACATGTGGAAAATATGCTGTTTTGTTTCATTTATTTCTCAGGTGGTGGCTGTGTTCGGCTCTCTGGAGGATCTTCTGTCCGCTGCCAGCTCTAAACTGGGCATCAAAGTCTCGCGAGTTTACAACGAGAACCGCGGCCTGATAGACGACATCACTTTGATCAGGTGAGGAGCTGTCAATCAAAAATCAGACTTCAGTTCCACCTGGAGTAAATTCACAAGCTACCCTGCAGTATACAAAGTCATTCAAACTAGCTGCACCTTTACCAGCTTTGAGAACACTTTCATGATCAATCATTATAAAACATATCATATATATTATTCTGAAATGGACCAATCTGCACAATGACTACTTTTACTGTCGCTACTTTAACTATATTTTGATGATACTACTTTTCTACTTTCACTTGAGGAACATTTTGAATGCAGTACTTTTACTGAAACAGAGTATTCCTACACTCTGGTACTTCTACTTTTACTCAAGTACAAGATCTGAGTACTTCTACTTTTACTCAAGTACAAGATCTGAGTACTTCTACTTTTACTCAAGTACAAACCTGAGTACTTCTACTTTTACTCAAGTACAAACCTGAGTACTTCTACTTTTACTCAAGTACAAGATCTGAGTACTTCTACTTTTACTCAAGTACAAGACCTGAGTACTTCTACTTTGACTCAAGTACAAGATCTGAGTACTTCTACTTTTACTCAAGTACAAGATCTGAGTACTTCTACTTTTACTCAAGTACAAGACCTGAGTACTTCTACTTTGACTCAAGTACAAGATCTGAGTACTTCTACTTTTACTCAAATACAAGATCTGAGTACTTCTACTTTTACTCAAGTACAAGATCTGAGTACTTCTACTTTTACTCAAGTACAAGACCTGAGTACTTCTACTTTGACTCAAGTACAAGATCTGAGTACTTCTACTTTTACTCAAGTACAAGATCTGAGTACTTCTACTTTTACTCAAGTACAAGATCTGAGTACTTCTACTTTTACTCAAGTACAAGATCTGAGTACTTCTACTTTTACTCAAGAACAAGACCTGAGTACTTCTACTTTGACTCAAGTACAAGATCTGAGTACTTCTACTTTTACTCAAATACAAGATCTGAGTACTTCTACTTTTACTCAAGTACAAGATCTGAGTACTTCTACTTTTACTCAAGTACAAGATCTGAGTACTTCTACTTTTACTCAAGTACAAGATCTGAGTACTTCTACTTTTACTCAAGAACAAGACCTGAGTACTTCTACTTTTACTCAAGTACAAGATCTGAGTACTTCTACTTTTACTCAAGTACAAGACCTGAGTACTTCTACTTTTACTCAAGTACAAGATCTGAGTACTTCTACTTTTACTCAAGTACAAGATCTGAGTACTTCTACTTTTACTCAAGTACAAGATCTGAGTACTTCTACTTTTACTCAAGAACAAGACCTGAGTACTTCTACTTTGACTCAAGTACAAGATCTGAGTACTTCTACTTTTACTCAAATACAAGATCTGAGTACTTCTACTTTTACTCAAGTACAAGATCTGAGTACTTCTACTTTGACTCAAGTACAAGATCTGAGTACTTCTACTTTTACTCAAGTACAAGATCTGAGTACTTCTACTTTTACTCAAGTACAAGATCTGAGTACTTCTACTTTTACTCAAGTACAAGACCTGAGTACTTCTACTTTTACTCAAGTACAAGATCTGAGTACTTCTACTTTTACTCAAGTACAAGATCTGAGTACTTCTACTTTTACTCAAGTACAAGATCTGAGTACTTCTACTTTTACTCAAGAACAAGACCTGAGTACTTCTACTTTTACTCAAGTACAAGATCTGAGTACTTCTACTTTTACTCAAGTACAAGACCTGAGTACTTCTACTTTTACTCAAGTACAAGATCTGAGTACTTCTACTTTTACTCAAGAACAAGATCTGAGTACTTCTACTTTAACTCAAGTACAAGACCTGAGTACTTCTACTTTTACTCAAGTACAAGATCTGAGTACTTCTACTTTTACTCAAGTACAAGATCTGAGTACTTCTACTTTTACTCAATGTTATAATCCCATGGTTCTGATAGTAATCCTGTTTGTTCCTGCAGAGACGATGATGTTCTGTACGTCTCAGAGGAAGACCCGTCTGAAGGTACGTTTATTCATAATCTCTAAAATAGTAGAAGCCCTAAAACCAAATAAAAAGAGGCGTGTCTCTGGGTCACATGACATGGAAGCTATTGGGATTGTTCCTGCTACTTCTCCATATAGAGTGGCGAAGTCCCTCCCCTTCCGGGGGACCTCCATGGGACCTTATTTCGGAAAAAGTATGCATTGAAGTCAATGGAGAGAGAAAGATTATCTTTCGATCCCGTTTGAATTGAGCCACGAATTACACATATGATGTTTGTCAATTTAAAGGTAGGGTAGGTACATTTGAGAAACCGGCTCGAGATACACTTGTTGTTATATTCCATGGAATGCTCTTAACATCCCGATAGCAATGAATATCTGAAGTGCTTTGACAACAAATCCATAAACAAATATCATCTGTGGAAGCTGTAGTACTGTAAAAAGCACGACCAATCATCTGAGCCGGCCCGGCTAAAATAACTGGACGGCCTACCTGCCTGTCAGCCTTCCATCTGTGCACAAACTGATCTTGTGCCCTCATTGGTCATGTGCGCGTTCGTGTGTGTTGGAGGAGGGGCTCTGTGAGGAAGTGGCAGATTTTCTCCGGTTGTGTATTTTCAAATTCTAGCGATCTCGAGCCGGTTTCTCAAACGTACCTACCCCACCTTTAACAGATAATTTTACAAGTCAAACAAATAAAAAGTGTCGTAAAACTGTGAAGTAACACTTTCTTTGTGTGAAACCGCTCAATGAACTCCATCTCCCGTCTCGCACCACACACCCAGACAGCCGTCACGTTGGCACGTTTCACTTCTTTCTTTCAGAATGAGGCGGAAAGTATTAAAAGAGGTGAAAATCACTCCAAGTCTGGGCATGTTGAGAGCTGTACATACACACAAGGGGAGTGAGTCGGTTCCTAAGAGCCAGCATGCGGGACCGGGACTCTGGGATTTGTAGTCTTTCTAGTTGCGTATTTTTCATAGTCTTATATTTCAACAGTTTTACGACAAACTGTGACTTTTTTGACATGGAAATTATTATTTAAGATTGACAAACATCATATGTGTAATTCATGGCACAATTCAAACGGGATCGAGAGATAATCTTTCTCTCTCCATTGACTTCAATGCAAACTTTTTCCGAAATAAGGTCCCATGAGTCGGAAGTAGATGGAAGTAGACTCTCTATACATATTGACATACCTACCAGTGTAGTAATACATGCTGTATTGATTTTTTTTATGTCACATGACACCGAAGCTTTAAAAAAAGAAATAATCTCATACCTAATCTTTACCTGTGTCACCTGCACCTGTATCACCTGTACCTGTATCACCTGTACCTGTATCACCTGTACCTGTATCACCTGCACCTGTATCACCTGCACCTGTATCACCTGCACCTGTATCACCTGTACCTGTATCACCTGTACCTGTATCACCTGTACCTGTATCACCTGTACCTGTATCACCTGCACCTGTATCACCTGTACCTGTGTGCAGACCCTCAGGATGACCTCACTGACCCTGAGAAGGATCAGACTCACACCGATTGGCTGACGCTCAATGTGGGCGGGCGCTGCTTCACCACCACCAGGTAGAGATACTGCTGTGTTCCTAACGGAGCTTAAAGATATGCAAACACACACTGCTTTATTCATAGCTGTGTGTGTGTGTGTGTGTGTGTGTGTGTGTGTGTGTGTGTGTGTGTGTGTGTGTGTGTGTGTGTGTGTGTGTGTGTGTGTGTGTGTGTGTGTGTGTGTGTGTGTGTGTGTGTGTGTGTGTGTGTGTGTGTGTGTGTGTGTGTGTGTGTGTGTGTGTGTGTGTGTGTGTGTCCTCAGGAGTACGCTGGTCAGTAAAGAGCCAGAGAGCATGCTGGCCCACATGTTCAGAGAGAAAGGTGAGGCATCTTTTTATCCTACAGATAAATGGTTTATTTCTTTGTTATCTCCACGTTGTTGTTGTTGTTATTATTTACTCTCTTTCTGCGTGTGTTTATGATCCAGATGTTTGGGGGAATAAACGAGATTCCAAAGGAGCGTTTCTGATCGACCGCAGCCCGGATTACTTTGAACCCATTCTGAACTTCCTGAGACACGGACAGCTGATCATCAACGAGGGCATCAACCCACTGGGTACACACACACACACACACACACACACACACACACACACATGCACACACAGGAACACACACACACACACACACACACACACACACACACACACACACACACACACACACACACACACACACACACACACACACACACATGCACACACAGGAACACACACACACACACACACACACACACACACACACACACACACACACACACACACACACACACACACACACACAGGAACACACACACACACA